GCGTGCCAAAATTAAGAAGGCGATCAATCGTGGTGCCCAGCAAGCGCACCGGGCGTGACTGAATGCGTAGTTGCCCATTGCCAAGATGGAGATCGACCATGTCCTCGTCAGACCGTGTGTGTGTGGAGATGTAGAATGCAGCAGCTTCGCTCTTACCGACGTTGATTTTGAGGTTGTGTCTGGCAGCCCATTTCGATAAAAGGGACAGAGCGGGTTGCATCGCCGCAGCACATGCATGGATGTCCGCACCTGAGGCAACAAGTGTGTGTTCGTCAGCGTGCATGAATGCAGCGGCAGAATAGATGTTGTCCATGCGGCACATCATCCACACAGTAGAGGGAGAGTTGGGGTCCCGGGACGCCGCCTTGTGGTACCACGGCTGAGGTGAGTTGTTTCCGGGAGTGCTGTTCGCGAGTGCACACCCTAACACGGCAGCCCCGCAGGTAGTTGTGCAGCCAGCGTTTGGTTCGTGGGCCGAGGCGCGGAAGTCTGTCAAACACGCCAAATAATTTCCCATGGTCAACGGTGTCTCAGGCAGTCAAAAAATCAATCAAGACTACGAGCGAGCGGTGGAGACGAGAGTGCCTTGTGGGGGCGCCGCCTCCAGGGCGCTCATACTCCACAGTGCTGAACTCATGCAATCCACGGGTAATTCTATCGATAACAAGTGCCACCACGTCCGATGCAGAACGCGAAGGTGCAAAGCCAAATTGACGTGGGTGGTGCGGCAATAACGCTGACAGACGGCGGTGAATCATTCCTTCGGTTAACTTTGGTAAGGCATAGAGTAGCGTGATGGGTGTGTGACTCTCTGGGCGGCATGGACCTTTTCCCAGGCTTGGGGATAGGAATAGTGTCCACCGTATTCCAGGAACCGGGCAGGCTGCCATTTGCGAAGGAGTTGTGGATCATCGTTCCAATTGTGTGCCGCACGCAACGGGCCCGAGACGGTGCAGGAATTCATCCAACATGTCGTCGGGGCCAGCGGCCGAGCCGAGCGAGGAGTCACGGATGGTCACGTCAATTTCATACGGCGTGAGAGGCCGATCCATTTCCCGGTCACCAGGAAGCAATGGAGCGCGGCGGACAGCAGCAGCAGCATAAGGTGATTTGGCACGTGAAACCCGCACAAAATGACGGACGAGCAGATTTGCCTGTTGCCGAGGCAGAGCGCAAACGCGGCCAAGTTCAGCGCGGAGCACAACCGATTCCAGGGGACGAGGGTGCGGCGCCGCCATGCCGTGAAGATCTCGCCAGCTCGGGCTGGATGAGGCTCCAAGTTTTTTGAGCGCGGGCTTCCAGAGGCATAGCGAAGCCACGGCGCAAGGCCTGATTTTAGTCCTCTCTTTTTCAAGTAAATTCGGCTCGAAGTAGGCTGTCTCCGGGTGAGGCAATGTGTGCTTTGTATGCAGCTTCGGCGGCGATCTCGGCTTGTTCCATTTCGTGTGTCCACATCGTTTTGAGCTGTCACGGCTGCCGCGCGGGATATGGCGCTCAGCTGCTCGCAAGATGCCTCTGCGGATGTCCAACCATGTGGGCGCGGTGGCAGGGAGTGTTTCACACAACGAGGTGGAAGCAGGCCAATCCGCTTTGCGCAGGGCAGAAGTGGCATTCTTCCGTCGAGGCAGCGTGTTGGCTAGTCACGGAATGCCATCGCCCATCCCTACCGAGTAAGATATTCAGCAGCGGTCCGAATCCATGCAGGGAGTGGATGTCCGGTGGGAGATGCGTGGGGCGCGATACGCAGTCACGTCAGAGGACGAGACATCACGATGTGTGATCCGTGTTGCCTGCGCCGGATCATTTGCCAGTCCGAAATCCATATCAATTAAAACGGCGGCAAAGTTCCCTCCTCCAGTCGTTGATGGTATGTATGACTGTCCCAGAGCTCATGATGTCATTTGAGTTCACCCGCGATAATCGCAGCGGGGACCAAGCGACGGAGGATATTGATAAATGTAGATTCTTGAACAGTTTCCACGGGAGGGTTGTAGAGATTCGCCACGCAGATCCTGCGACATCCCTGATGAGTTGCACGGACAGCAATGGTCTCCAGGAGGTCAGTGCCAGGGAGCGACAGGCGCTCGCACGGTAGAGAGTGGCGCACCAGAATGGCAACGCCACCACCGCGCCCAGTGCGGGCCTGAAGAAAGTCATTGCAGCCAGAAACTTTTGTCGCTACGTCACTGCGATTATTTATTTCCTGCAGAAGAACGGTGTCAGGTTGGGGCAGTTCCCATCGCACAGCAAATGCAATCTTTTTTACGGACGAGAGGCCTGCAATGTTAAGCCGCCAAACAGTGATGTAGCCATCCTCCTCGGTGCCAGAGTTCTTGTGGACGTCACCGCCACGGGTGATATCAACGGAGTGACCGCTTCAACTCCCCGCACCGGGCATGGCGTGGAACCCTCTCGAGGGGTGAAGTCGTCTTGGTCTCCGTCGTGCTCGCAGCAACGCCCTGCTGCGGAGTTCTTATTTGCAACCAGAGCCCCAGCACCGCGACAAGGTGCGAATTCATTGCTGGGCCCAGGAGAAGCCGCAGTGCCTCCTGCTGTCATCCGGAATCTTTGTTGACGCCTTGATGCGGGCAAGCGCCCATTGTTTCTTCCAAACAACGCTGCACTCCCGCGACGCATCTTGCGCTATGAGAGGCACGTTCCTCACCACAACCGGAGTCGCCCACGCGCCGTCGGTACGCACCACATCGTCAAGAAAAGAGCAGGAATGTGTCAGGGTGACAACGAGGCACCCGCTGGAGAGTCGAATCACAAACATCACCAGCAGCGCTGCAAGCCACGGGTTAACGTGGAACAACTGACGCATGGCGTATGTCGAAGGAAAACTTAGTGCCTTCACAAGAATAAGAAAGGATAAAACTCTCCCAAAAAAATATGAGAACAACAATAAACGATTAAAGTGTCCGCAGTAAACGCATGCCGCCAATCAAAGAAAAGCGGAATGGGTGCACTCAACCACAAAATCAAAAAGGAAAACAAAACAAAAAGCCGAAGCGTGGGACGACCAGCGCACACACACTCTCATTACTCCCGTAAAGCAAAACACACAAACAGGGAGAGAGAGAGAGGTCGCCCACTCAATGCAATAAAAACAAAACAGAAACAGTTACGGTGCTCCGCCCATGCAGCCAGGCAGGACGGCAGCGGTGCGTGTCGTGCAAAAGAGAGCACCAACGGGCCTGCATGGGTGTGCATGCATATATACAATGGGCACATTATTGTGTGTGCCTCGTGGGGTGAGGTGAGGGCGAGAGTCCATGCAAGGGGACACACACAGAGAGAGAAGGACGAGTGTGTGTGCGGGCGGTGCATGGCTCTCTCACACTCACTCTCACGCGGCCACCACCGCAGCAGCCGCACACGCAACAACAAGAAGCAAAAGAGGGGAGATGGTGTGGGAGACCGCGGTGCTGCCGTCACTGTCGACGGTGTTTGTTTTGTTTGTTGTGTTAGTGGAGATGTTTATGGCTGCTGTGGATGCTTCACTGTTGGCTGCTGCAGTGTCAATGCTGTCTGGTGCGCTTTTGGGTTTTATTGCTGCTTCCTTCTGATCCACTTCTTCTGTAAATGCATTGTTGCCATTGTTGTTGAGGCTACGCGCATCATGATTGTTCGGTCTTGTGGTTGTGGCAGTGTCTGACTCTCCCGCTGGAGGAGCCGCGGGGCTGCTCTCACTGTCGCCAGGCTTTACTGTGTTACTTCCTTCAACTGTAGTGTGCGGTGTTTTTGTTTTCTTCAAGCCGCTGCCCGGTGTTTCACTTTCGTCTCCTTCTGTCTGCACAGCACCTGATGCTGGAGTATCAACGGTGCTTTCCTCCGCAGTGCCCTCTTCACTGTGATCGTTGGAATTATCATTGGCTTTTGCTGGGGGTAATGTTTGTTCCGCCCGATCCTCAGTTGGTGGATCCCCTTGGGTAGCTGTGTCGTGTATACTGGATACCTTTGGAGGTTCTTGAGGTGGACGCATTGCCTCTGGTCCTCCCTGTGACTGCTTCGGCGGCACCGAGCCCGCAGTGTTGGGCTCTGCTTGTTTTGCGAGTACTGTTGGTTCCGTTGATAAAGGATGGGCGGTGCTTGTGAGGAGGCTCCTGCAGATGCCGGTGTTG